AATAAAAAAAATTATCATTAAATTATTTAAATAATTGATAATTTTATTATTTAATATTGATAACATGGTATGATGGTTGACAATTTAAAATGAAGGATGTTAGACTTCTTGGCCATGTTTTTAAAACTGCATTGGTAGTTGAATCGACCATTAGTCATTGGTAAGATATCAAAATTGGATTTTACTTTTAAAAAAAAAAAAAATTGTATCTTTTTTGAATTAAAATATATAATCAAACAACATCCTACCACTAGACTACATAACTTTTAAATTGCAGAGATTGCAAAATTCTTAATTTATTCAATAAAATAAAATTTGAAAATAAGTTATTCTTTAAAAGTTTACAGAACAAGTTTAAACTTAAAACATCTAACATCAAAATTAGGAATAATACTATTAAAACAAACTCTATTTAATTTTTGAACACTTAAAATTTTTGGACCCTATTTTGTCATTATTATATATAATTTTATTGAATAGAAATAAAAAATTTGAACTCTTAGATGTAAAAAGTATTGGTTTAGTTGTATGATTTATAAATTGAGTTTAAATTTCCAACTGCAACAAAAAAATAAAATTATAATTTAAGTTTAAAGGTTAGGATTCAACTTTTGGTATTTTCTTTTCTTTTTTTTTTTAAAATTAACTTATTGTTATATTTGATTTTATTGATTAAGATAAAAAATTTGAATTCACAACCATTCAAATTAAGATATATGTAGTCTAATGATATGGTGCCTCGTGTAGTTGTTGGAGCCTCGAGTTTATTCTGGTTACAAATATTTTTTAAAAATAATAATTGTTATATTCGATTTTATTGAATAATAAAAAAAATTAAATTCATGACTACTGAAATCTAATAGTATGTTGTTTAGTTTGGTTTTTGGAGATCTTTTGTTTTATTTTATTTTTTTATATGAAAGAAAATATTATAAATATCATAAAGGTGTATTAGGGGACATGTTGAGTATTAATGTCCCCCTCTAAGTCTTACTTACATAGATCTATGTATAATTATTATTCTATAGTTCTAACAAGTCCTGGCACCTTGATTCAAAGATTTGATCCAACTCACCTGCTATGTGTTGAGTTATGGGTCTATAGTATTGACCCACAATTCAATATGACTTGAAGGAAATTATGTGGATCTAATTGGATTAGTTCAGGGTCGAATTGAGTTAATTTGAAATGATTTGAATAAAATTAATTAAATTTTTTAAATTTAAAATTTTATATAATCATT